CGCTTTTAGCGTTACCGAGCGTCGTCGAGCATTGTTGCAAGTATGTGAGATGAGCGAGCAACGTTGTCTGAGACGTTGATTGAGTCGCAGGAATTAAATCACGATTAACAAGGCGCTCGTGATTTTCGTATTTGTGCGCGCGTGCCCCCGATGATTTCATTTATTCACACGAGACGTGCGATTTGAGGGAGGAAAAAGTGCATCGATGCGATATTGTTTCCAAGAGGTCGATAGATCGCGCGCAGCGGATGCCCGTTCGGATTCCTACGGCGCTCACGATCTAATTTACCGTACGCGCTACGATGCAACGACGAGCTTCCTGAGGAGCCTGCCTTTGGGGCGCCGCTTGTTACGAGTTTATTCGCCGCTGTCGAGATTCGATCGGAACGCTTAGTCGGCGAATTAGCGATGCGCTCAGAAAAAACGTATTCGAAGCAGCTGGAGCCCGGAGTCGCGTCATGACGGATCCTAATTAAACCGTCCGGAGCAAAACGAGAACGATCGCCGGGAGGTGATGGAGGCGGTGAAGGAAACGGGGCGTGGGGGGGGAGGAGGAGGAGGAGGAGGAGGAAGAGGAGCAAGAGAAGAAGGTGGGAAGGAGCGGTAATAACGGCACTGAGTGAAAGTGGTAATGACTATTAATAGTTAAATAGTACGCGCGAAGAGAGAGACCAAGGCGAAAATTGCAACCGCCTTTGCGAAGCCGGCGAATGATGAAGTTTAGATTCGTCCTCTCTCGAGAAGCGCCGAGCGACGATGGATTTCCGACGTGGAAACTCGATAAGTGATTGAACGAAAGTACACGAGAAATGAAAAAATCTAAGATGCAAGAAAGCGATTGGTACGCGCGGATCCCGGTGCAGTTTCTCCACCTTGAAGAGTGGATGGAAAACTCGTAAAGAGACAATGTATAAAATATGTCTTGAAACTCTCTCTCTCCCTCTCTCTCTCTCTCTCTCTCTCTCTCTATATATATATATATATATATATATATATATATATAATCTTTGCTAACATAAATCATTGAAACCCGTCCGAGGAAAAGCTCCTCGAACGGAAACGTGTACACGGATTACGATAAAAAGTCATTCGCTCCGCGGTGCACGGCCATGAGTCATAATTTCTATTTAAATGTGCGTAATTACGCTGTCGTGCATGCGCTTGCTCGCTCGCTCGCTCGCGAGTACAAGCGGCGGCTGTACGACGAGCGGAGCGCGCCGCGCGGCCGTCGCGTTTCCTTCCTGAATAAACGCTCGAAATAGTACGGGCGCTGCTCTCCGCCTCTGATAAATGTTGCTCAACATTGTCGCCGCGCTAAATACATCAATGACAAGCAGCGTGAATTGTCGAGCGGGCTAAACGCTGTGTGCTAAGCGCGCGGCGGTGGACGGCTCAGGTGGAGCCGCCGCCAGCCTCCACCTGCGTGACGCGCGTGAGTGTTTACTAATCACGCCCTCCCCGTAATAGAGCTGTGCTCCACTTATGACTAGCTCGCTCTGTGAATTCGATATACACTTTCGTGTACGCGCGTGTGCACCGGCAAAATTTTCCACGCCGCGCTGTTTTATGACTGTCTGCCCGCCTACCCGTTCGCTAGCCTGCCTGCCTGCCTGCCTGCCTGCCTGCCTGCCTGCCTGCTTGCCTACTTGCCTACATATATGCCTGTATACCTGCTTGCCTGCCTGTATACCTGCCTGGCTGCCTGCCTGCCTGCCTGCGCTTACGAGAATAATCACGCGAAACGCTTCGGATTATGACGATACGCCGAGATACATTCGCTATTGTTACCGCGCGCGAGACAGCAACTCGCGTTTTATCCTGCGTCGGTAGAGCGATAAAGAGCGATGCTGGATTGGTGAAAATACGCGACTGCTAATTTCGGTAACTGCGATTTTCCGCTGCTACCTGTGTAACGTAACGTAATCTCCCCATATCGTTGAAGAATTTTTGCAATATCGTAAATCTCAGTAAACGTAAACGTTGTGAATGCTATTGGTCGCACACATTGCCACGTTACTTCTGAGCGAATAACGTTCACGATTTACGTTTACCGTAGACCTGAGAGACGGTATCGCAAAAATTCTCTATTTCCTAGGGAAACCCACGACCGAGGTCTCGTAATCATAGTTACGAGGGATCGCACAAATTTGCTCCCCGCGTTCCTGGGGATAACACATTCCGATATATTATGCATTGATAAATATACGAAAGAGAAGAAGAGAGGGAAGATGGAGAGTCGGATGAAAAAACACTGGCAATCTTTTTATTCCGCGTTGCTTTCGCGTTTATCGCGTTTCTGACATTTACGGCTAAACTATCAAACTTCTCTAACACGTGTCCGAATATTGGAATAAACGATAGCGCGATAGCGCGAGACTTACGGCTCGCTTCGATACAGCTCGAGCCGAACGTTCAAATATTTTGAATCCGAAATCTCGCGTCGAGTTTACTCGACAGAGCAACATTCTCTACTCGAATATCTATACAGCAGCCTCGCTGCTTTGAGCGGTTTGAGCCGCGCGGCGGAATTAGCGCGGGCAACTCACGATTTTTAATCACGCGAGGTGTTAACAGTCAATTACACCGACAGCACCTGCGATTTGGATCAGATCGCCGATCGGTGTCTGCGTGTATATACCGCCTGCTACGTAGTCACGAGAAAGAGAAAGAGATTTCTCTCTCTCTCTCTCTCTCTCTCTCTCTCTCTCTCTCTCTCTCTCTCTCTCTCTCTCTCTCTCTCTCTCTCTCTCTCTCCTTCCCTTCGTGCCTTTCGCAAACAAGCGTCGCGTGAGCGTTGTTTGCTCGCGCCTCGCTTGTGCAAACAATTCGCATGATTGCAAACAATCTCGAGTCGGCGCGTCGTTACGCTCACTTACGCGTACGAGCGAAGGCAGAACTTCCTCGAATCGTAGCGAATCGCAGCGAGCGCGAAAATTTGTCGAGCAATCCTCGTCGCGCATCTTTCGAAATCCTCTCCGCTTCTCTCTCTCTCTCTCTCTCTCTCTCTCTCTCTCGCTCTCGCTCTTTCTTGGTAACGTCATCGCAACGCGAGAAAACGTCAGATAAGGAATCGCGCCGATTCTACAGCGAACCTCGACGGTCCGGCTGCGGCGGGACGATAAACGGCTCGCGCGAGCGTTGCAAGTGTGAAATTACCGACGAAACGGCGTGAATAAAATCGAGAGAGCAGGAGCGGAGGTGAAACGCCTAATTAATATACTCATATCCCCCATACGCGCAGCGACGTCCGTCATTTATAACCGTATCGTAAAAACGTCCGACGAAAACTCGGCGCGGCAGCGGCACGTGCGATTCGAGTATCCCGTCCCGTGGCGTGACACCTCGGCGACTTTCGAAACTAACGACTCGAGTAAGTAAAACCGAGAGCGCGATTAATATACTTATCTTCGCGCTTGACGCAATCTATTCGCAATTCGCGTTGCGAGAATGTTCCCGGCGCGCTCGCGTCTCGACGAGGGCCGGGAAATCGGCCCCGTCAAATCTCGCGCGCTTTTTCCTCGGACTCCGCCAATTTTCCTCAACCTTTTTCTTTGTACAATCGCAATTTTCTAACGATCGATACCGGCGAGTTGCGAGTGATATGCGGGCGCGCGTGCCTCTTCTCGACGACGGTTCTCGGCGGCACACGTGTGCGTGTACACGTATTAATAGATCCGTCGAGTCACTGCGGCCGCGTGCGCGCACCTAACCACGGAGACACTTGGTCGTGGGTGTAACGACGCGCTCGTGTTGCACACAAAGGGTACGATCGCGCAGACATCGGCTTCGTAATCGATTAAGGACAGACGCCCGCGGCGACGCTCGAGGAGGCGGCGGCGGCGGCGGCGGCAGCGGCGGGAGTAGTCGCGTTAACGCGAAACGCCGCTCGCAACGCGACCGCTAGATTTCCCATTAATCAAGCGCGAACGAAGCTCGTTAAGGCTCGGCCGATTCGTTTCGAGATTATGCGCTTAAAGTGTTGAATAATGTATCGGACGCCGGCGCTCGATAAGCGGGAACAATACTCGCCGATACATGTTCCGTTATAGTGTTTCCCTCTCAGTCGCGACTCGCGCGTTCCTCTTCAGCCGTTCCTCGCGCTTCGCGCTTTTTTCGCCGCGCGAGAGCCTCTCTCAAACTACTATTGCTGCTGCTACTACTACTACTACTACTACTACTACTACTACTATCAGCGCATAATATGCAACAATTGTGCGTCTTCGAGTGTAAACACGGGCGCGTGTGGTCAGGGAAAGGTTAAGTATACGTAATCCGCGTCAGGCTCGTGCAATCGCGCGGCTTGACGTGGCGGAAATTTATGCTAAGCTCGTGGAAATCGCGGAAGCGCGGCCGCCCATTGTGTATCGATGCTAATGACGATAATGCACTTAATGACACTCGCGAATCTATCGCGCACCTTTCTCTCTCTCGCTCTCTTTCGCTCTCTCTCGCTCTCTCTCGCTCTCTTTCGCTCTCTCTCTCTCTCTCTCTCTCTCTCTCTCTCTCTCTCTCTCTCTCTCTCTCTCTCTCTCTCTCGCTCTCTCTCTCTCTCTCTCACGAACGAGGCAGGAAAAGACGCGTGTTTCGTCTTTCGACATTGAGTGGCGCGCGCTCGGCCCCGAAGAGACTAATGTCTGCCCCGAAATTATTCCGGAGACCCGAAGTCGCATAAATCCAAGTAAAATACGAAGCGCTGGTATTTTTCGCGCGGCGGCGAGATCGCTGGATTTGCGAATCCATTGTACTCTATCCAGAATTTTCGAATATTTCCGTCCGCATCCTACGCATCCCGAGCCATTTATTTTTGTAGCGAGTCAAATTCCGCGCACGAATGCGTGAACGACGCACGTACGAGTCTGTGCGAAGATTTCGATTTAATCGGCGACTCTGCGACGTCAAATTTCACAAGCGCCTCTCTCGCGACGCTTCACCTTGTAGATCGAGATTTCTTTCCGGAAGCACGTGGCATAACCACCGTCTCGCCTTTTGCCTGTTTTCAGCGAATCGTTGCGGCAGAGGCCGAGAGCCGGTGCTACATCTAAACATGGAGTTGACACGATTGCCTTCGATACCGTTGGCTTTGGCTTTGGCCCTGGCCTTTCTTTCGACGGCGCGCCGCTGCGTCGACGCCTCGGAAAGTATAATAGGTGAGTACGCGCGTAGCACGCGCGCGCGAGCGCGAGCGATTGCGAGCGTGTTATTTTGATAGCTGACTAACGATCAGACCCAGGAGGGTGCCAACATCGAGACTCGATCGATTCCGACCGCGTTCGCGAACTGAAGTTATTATCGGCGCGAGATGCCATGCCGTCGCGCATTATCTCACGAGAGCGCTCCTCAGACCAAGTTTCGCTGTCGATAAATCGATCGAACAAGTAGAAAAGGTCAGGTACGAGCGTACAAAACTAAATTCTGCCGTAAGTACCGTCCGAAACGATATTAGAGACTAAGGGAAAGAACCGCCGTTAGGTTGCGCTCGTTCGCAGCTGATGGATAACACCCATACTGACCGCGTCTGCCAGTTAGATCTGTAATAATTAACATTGCATTCTCTCAAGGGGAGAGAAAAATTTCTTTTTTTCATTTTTACCGACACCGCGGGGTCATTTTCCGGGGAGATATTTTCGCGCAAACGACGCGGTTCGACGGATGCGTCGTCGCCGTGAGACAGACGGTCGAAAAGTCAGAGCCACCGTTTAGTGCGTGTCTGGGTGACGGTTAGTAATCTCGAGTACTTTAGCGTGACTTAAGGGTGATTTACACGATGCTACTTTCGACGCTTGACGCTGGCTTCTTTTGTCGCCAGCTTCTCGCTTTCCTAGAGCGAATTTCTGGCTGACAAAGTCGCTAGCGTTGGAGCATTTACACGATGCTGATAAACAGCGTTTACTCGCTAGCGTTTTAAGGAGAATTTTGCGGTTAGTTAAAAGGATCATGACGTCAAGGAATGACATAGTTCAAGCTGCTGTCGTGCTTTGTGCACGAGCTCTTCAAGCAGAAATTCGTGGCTCAGTAACAAAATGAGAAAAAGAAAAAAAGAATGTGGGTAAGTGGATAGGTAGAAGATTAACTCATGGAGCATCAAATAATCTGTTCAAAGAATTGGCATTGGAGGATCCAACCGTATACCGTAAAGTATTGCGATTAACGTGCGAGAAATTTGAAGAACTTTTGAAAAAGGTGCGTCCGCTTATAACGGAAAAATAGCGAGAAAAAAGACAGTTCAATGTCGCTTGACGCGAGCGGTAAAAGTTGGACATGTTCAACTTTGCCACAGCGACTGATAAACGCTGCGTCATCCAAATTGTAGACTAGCTAGCGACTAAAAATCGAGCGTCTAGAAGTTTTCACCAGCGAATTCGCTGGCGACTTGAGAAGCTCGCTCAAAGCGAGTAAAAGCAGCATCGTGTAAATCACCCTTTACGAACGAGGAGCCCTTCCCGCCTTTCGATCTCACGTTTGGCCGGCAAGATGCCAAACAAGAGCAGCGCGCGCGCGCGCGCGGCGCGATCAAATTCCCGATTCCAGCTGCTTTTCTATCGGCGGTGCTCTCGCCCGCGCGCTCGCCCGTCACGCTCCATTTGCGCCTTTTAAACGCTCTATTCTTAGCCTATCTCCATTATCTACCGTTCTATTTGCGCTGGGTCGAGTCGAATCTCGCGCGGCTCACGCGATTCATCGCGAGAGAGCGGCTCTCTTCGCGCGCGGTGCGCGCGGCGCGGCGCTGCGAGTCGCCAGGAAAGTTCGCACGCGGATCGCTCTTTTCCGGTTAAACGATGAGAATGCAATGTGAGAATAGAGAATAGTCCGCGATGAAAGTCACCGGTCGAAAGAATCCGAACTTTATTTCTCCTCGCGCGCAGTTGCGCTACACGCTCGGGTCAGAGCGATACGATCTTCGCCAATTCCGCTACAATCGTTGCAAATTGCACCGACAAGTTATATCACATCGCGATCGTCGAGACTCGCCGACGACGTCTCCATCGGCGACTTAATCTCGCGATTTACCGTCGACGGGCAGCGTGCGCGCAGCGTGGGAAGTACCGGTCACGCGACAAAGTCGATTTCACGCTGTCGGGTCGGTATTAAAGCGCGATTTACGTCGGTAAGCTCTCTCCACCCCTCAGAGTGTTTGCGCGCGCGCGTGGACGAGCGCGTAATCTTCGTCGGAAATTGCATCGGGCGCGACCGTATCCCCCAGGACAACGAGCGCGGTAAATTCGAGACTGGAACGTCCACTTATATACCGAGAGTGCAACGAGTGCGTAAATCCGTCTTTACTCGCCCTTCCGACCGCGCTTCTTTTTTCGCTATTACGTGCTCCGTCACGGCTAACTACGTCACTCGGAAATTATCCGTCGACGAGGAGGCGCCGCGTCAGTCCTTCTTTCCTTCCTTCCTTCCTTCCTTCCCTCCTTCCTTCCTTCCTTCCTTCCTTCCTTCCTTCCTTCCTTCCTCCCCTCCTTTCTTTCTTTCGTCCGTTCGTCCGACGCAATCGACGAAAGAGCGACGCGATGCGCGCACGGTGCACCTTTCAGGAAATTGCATTCCCCGCTGGTACACTCGAGGTTAATCAGCTACTCTCGCAGCGGCTTCGCGAAGGTCGCGAGAGCGGAGTGCGCGCGGTCGGACGCTTCCGATCCGCCGCGACGCGACGCGACGCGACGCGCCGACGCCGATGCCGACGTCTGCGAGTCAGCCGTCTTAGCGACGTGTTTAACGCCGTCCACGATCGATTAGGTTCGCGCGCGTGCGACTTCGTTCTGTGCGCTAATTGATCCTAAACTCGCCCACGTGTCCTGCGAAAACGGAGATTCTCACGTGTGACCCCCGACCTCGTGAACGAACGGCACGAGGACATCAGGTGCGCTCTTTTCAGACTGCTCTCCGAGTTTTTAACCAACTCGTGTAACCAACTCGAGGAGCGCAAGAGAGAAAGAGAAAAGCACACGGAGATGGGAAGAGAGAAAGATAGAGGGACGTACGGTAAAAGGTGAGGTGATCACGATCGCGGAGAGACGGAGAAAGAGGTTGCGCCGCGAAACTGTCTCGGGCTTTTCACGTTTCCCCGTGCGAGATGACGGGGAGGAAAAGAGATGTGCGGACGAATGAGCGAAAGAAAAAAAAAAAAAGAAATAGGAAAAGAAAACTTTAAACGGTCGCGAATGCCACGCTGCATCCTTCCTCGCACACGCATTCCTGCGCACTTTGACACCGATACGTCGACGCTTTTCGAGTACAATTTAACGAGAATACATGTGAATGACGATTAGCATTGATATCTCGAAAACGAACGAACGGACGAACGAACGAACGAACGAACGAACGAACGAACGAACGAACGAACGAACGAACGAACGAACGAACGAACGAACGAACGAACGAACGAACGAACGAACGAACGGACGAACGAACGAACGAACGAACAAACGAACGAACGAACGAACGAACGAACGAACGAACAAACAAACAAACGAACGAACGAACGAACGAACGAACGAACGAACAGACAAACGATCTCCGATCGGCTACTGCGATCTCTGCCACTCGCTTTTGCGGCGTAACTCCTGCGGACTCTTGTATGATGTCATTGCCTATCCACGGACGGTTATAAACTAACCGCTTTCACTTCGATAATAGCCGTTCGATACAATCTTGGACGAGTGATGAGCGTCACGACGTTCACCGTTCAGAACCAAATTATGACGTTTAACGCCAAACGCACGATATAAAAATATACATTTGAATAGCGGAGCATTCCGCCCCCAAAAAGAAGTGGCAATGCTTGCAGTTGCGTACTCTGCGGCGAGACAAACGATTGATTCTCTCTTTCTCTCTCTTCCTCTCTCGCGATCCTCTCGCGAGATTTTCACGGAGAGACACGAGCGACGATCTTGAGCCGGTTGAAAGGGGACGAAACGAAGCCGCCTCGAAAGTTACTGTACGACGCGTTAAATCTCCGAGAGCAGTGACAGAGCGGGGGCAAAACGTTTTGCCGAGGGATGAACTAAAGAATGCATTTGAAAGTAAAACGAGACGGAGAAGAAAAGACAAGTGCGATATTTTATTCTGCTCTGGAAAGATTTGTCTTAACGACGGATTACTTTGGTCTCTCGAGAGTGTAGAGAGAGAGAGAGGAAGGGAGAGGGAGAGGGAGGGAGGGAGAGGGGGAGAGAGAGAGAGAGAGAGAGAGAGAGAGAGAGACGCGAGAGAGGCTGCAGTTTTACAGAAAGGTTGCTTAAAGTGTGCAGGAATACGTGCGCGAGGGAACCGGGAGGGATGTTGGTGGTGGCTTCGTCGACCTAGCAGCGCAGCGCGACACGATTTCCGCCGGGAAACAGACGGTCTTACCGACTGGCGTGTTCTAAGGTACGTTTACGATGAAACCGCGTTTAATATTTTATCGAAACATGATAGCCAAAGACAGAGAGGAGAGGAGAGGAGAGGAGAACAGAGCGAGAGAGAACGAAATCAGACGGAAATCCTATCCCGCGTTGTTTAAGTGAGAAAAATGATGAGAGAAAAAAGATAATTTGCAAATATTCGCAAACCGCGTTTGTTAAGTTTCTCGCGTGATTATTTCGGGAGTATCGCTCGGCACCGAGCGCGATTACCGGTACGTTTGTCTAACCGGCAAGCAAGTTAGCTCACACACACACACACACACACACGTGATTTAAATATGTGGTGAAAGCGACATGTTTCGTTTATAACTCAAAATACGTTTGCGCGCCAATTTGGTGCTCGCGCTGACTGGTGATCGCTGAGTTTACTAACGAGAGAATAATAAGAAATTATCATATCCCTGCTCGTTGAATGTGATCTTGGTCCAGAAAATAATGATAAATTTGGAAAGTTGGGGCGGCTCGCGTGTACACGAAAGAACAAGAAAGTCTCTCTGGAATAGAAAAGTCAGCCGTTGCAACAACGCTCTCGTTGTAATTATACAGCGTCTCATCATATTGCGCGGCATTCAAAGTCGATCAATCACGTGATCATACCTCTCATCACGATTGTTGCTCTAAATTTGCAGGAAGCCGAGAGACCTGCGACATCGAGGGCGAGGAATTCACCGTCGACAAGATACCGAATATGAAGTGCTTCAACTGCATTTGTAAGGTAAATCGCGCGCGGCCGAGAACACTAATCGATGTTTAACGACGCGCCAACAGAATATACGATTAAATGTCGTAGGCCGAGGGGAATCTGCGTAACGAGTCGGGACGAGAAAGTGAGCCGTGTGGTTTAAGAGACAAGCCGAAAGTGCTTCTAAAAGATTTATATTCCATTAGCGGGATTTAATGCCACTGCCCGAAGAAAGCGACTGCTTGTAATTCACTCACTCTTGCATTTCACACCAAAAAAAAGACGTAGCTCAATTCTTTTGAGAAATTTCGAGCACAGATTTTCCTTCGTTTACATCGTTCACTCAAAGATCCTGCTAATCGTGCGGAAGGGAATTGCTACCGATCACATCTCAAACATCTATCATGTATCGTAACACTGAAATGCGCAAAGTTCCGATCCCCCCTCCGCCGGCCTAAGAATCGCGAGTCTATCTCGACGAAACCGACGATACGTACCGCGCGTCGCGCGGTTCTTGCGCGACAAGAGAAACAAGAACAAATTGCAACGGGGGAGGAGAGCTACGTGGCCGTCTTCGTAGTCTAATTCGCGAGATTATGTCGTTATCACGCGGCCATATGAGCGACGAGGCAACGCCATGTGGTGTGACGGAGTAGTTAAAGGGGTTAAAGTAACTGGCCTGGTTCGGGAGGTCAAAGAGAGGAATCTTCAGTCGGAGAGATGCATTCGACACGATCGATTCGTCGCACATATTCGTGTTCGCAGCACAAGTATACGCATGTACGCATGTATGCATAAAGAAAGAGAGAGAGAAAGAGAGAGAGAGAGAGAGAGAGACAGATACGCACTACACATGCACGTATATGCACGCACGCACGCGTTTATACGGTATACGATCGTCGGCTCACACGCTCGCTCGTTTGCTTGCGTGTGCATCTTATGATGCGCCGCAACCTCGATGCATCTCTCGACGCACCGCGCATCGAGTGATCTTAGCGCGACCGCGGCGATTTATCTGCACGTTTGGTTCATTGACTCGTCGACTCGTGGCCGACCGAGATGAGGCTTCTTGTTTTCGCCCCGCTGCTGCTGCTGCTGCCGTTGCCGTTGCAAGCAGCGGCGACAGTAGCGGCGGCGTGTGACATAATTATTTGTTTGTTGCGTCGAGAAGCGACGAGATCGATCGGCCTCGATCGATCATCCGTGATTTGCGCGGAGATCGCAAGACGGCCTCGCCATTCGCTGAACTCTCGACGCGTTTGTACTTGGGCGGTACTCCCATCGCATTACGAAGTCGAGAATAAAGTTTGCGATATGTATCATACATATATACGGTACCAAAATTAGAAAAGAATGCGCGATTGCCGAGATAACGGTCACAACGGAGAATTTTGATCGAACAATTAACCGAGGAGGCTCTTTAGGATAATGAGAAATAGGAATATGCATCGTGTTTTCCGAGAACAGTTTTTTCGACGAGCGCGTGAATGTATTTAATTGACCGAGTTTCTAGTTATCTTTCACGCACGTTCATATCGTTCCGTTGGGCTTCGCTCAAGCGTTAATTAATATGAGAATAATTAATTTCTGAGCGTTGCGTAAAAACGTTCGTTCGGCCGAGCCGAGGAGCCTAAAAACAGAGAGCTTCCTTCTGCGTGGTATGCCTAATTACGTCCGCTTGGCGTCTCTCTCTCTCTCTCTCTCTCTCTCTCTCTCTCTCTCTCTCTCTCTCTCTCTCTTCCTTGTATACGTGACCGTGCCGACCCACGTTAAATTACTTTACATAATTCTGACAGAAGATAAATCGTAAAGACTTAATTATAGAAGCCGATAACGAATCGGAGGAATAATTACTGGAACGCGCGATAACGCGGACGCGAAGTGAAATCGGAACAAGACGCGCAATAAGAAGAAAGAAGGGAGAGAAAAAAGGCCGAGGCGGAATTTCGCCGGCACGCGGCGGCGAGTGACTCAATGTCCGAGCGACAAAATTCCCGATTCACAATGCAAAGGTTTTATTTAACTCAGCGTGTCAATATTCCCCGGCCGCAGCGCTCGTGCGACGTTCCGCGCGCCGAGACGAAATTGCCTCTTCGACGGCGAGAGAGCCTGCGAGAGTAATTGGTAATTTCGACAAGTCATCATCCTTGATTTTGTCGTTCCGCGCGAGAGACGCGCCTTTGAGAATTATATTCCGCGAGCGAATGATAAATCGTATCTTTAGCAAAATATTTCTCTTCCTCGCGCGTGCGTATGCGTGTTAAAAAAAACACCACCGTCGAATCAAGTCATCTATCTCGGAAGTCGATACGCTTTTGTTGCAACAGAACAAGAGAGTTGCAGAGAGAAGAAGACTCTCGCCGCTCTTTTTTCTCTCTTTTCGATAAACCGGCAACGGAAGCATTTCTGCCTTCGCGTGCTAGCTACGCGACAAGTTGATTTTCTGTCGTCCCTTTTCTCCCCAGAACGGATTCGTGGAATGTGTGAAGCATCAGTGCCCGAGCATCGAAGGCTGCTACACGTTGCTGGATAGGCTCGACAACGAGTGCTGCCAGAGGTGCACAGGTACGTAGGTATACGCACGTACCTCTCTCCGTGCGCCCACGTCTGCCCGCTAATTCGGCTAATTATCCTAATCGTCCTAATTGGCTCGAGCTTGCTCGCGAGACCGAGAAACCGCCACGGGAAAGAGGGATAAAGAGGAGGGCCGTAAGTCGGCGGGCGGCGGTAAGATGGAAAGCCAAGAACTCGCGGAATGCTCGCGGCCGGAGCATTGTTCCCAAGGCACAAAGGCACTTCTGTTCGCCCCGACACGGTGATAAAGGCCCGAGGAACTTGAGCGTCCGCCTCGCTCGCGCGCGCGCGCGTCCGTCTGTTTACGACACGTAGCTGACAGATGCGTTCGCGCGCGGCTCCCCCTTATCGCCCCCTATTAATTATGTTAATGGTGACGTAAGTCCGCCGCGCCCGCGACCAAACTCGCGCCCGGAATGGCAAAGGAAGAAACAGATGCGCGCGCGCGCGCGCGCTCGTGTGTGTGTGTGTGTGTGTGTGTAACGCTATCGTACTTGTGTCCATCGAAGGTCGGAAGGCCACAAAAATTCGACAGCGATTCCGAATTGTCGGAATATCCCATCGCGGTGAGATCCCGATTACACCGCGAGAAATCGCCGACGTCATCGAAACGGTATGCACGCAGGATGCACGCAGGACGGCGTCTATCACGAATCCGACACCGAGTGGATGGACAGGAAGGATCCGTGCCGAATATTCACCTGCAAATCGGGCATCATCACCGAATCGAAGCTACGCTGTTACACACCTTGCTCAAATCCGACGCCAGCCGCACCTGGCCAATGCTGCCCGGTCTGCGCAGGTGCGTAACATTTTTCTTCTTCCCTCGCTCTCTGATGCCGCTCTGACGCCGCTCTGCTAATTACCCACGCCAATCTCACAAATATTTCTCACGAACCCTTGAATGTATCCCGCCGCGCAATTAAGGCCGGAATGTTCCCCGATATATAACGGAGGGAAGAACGATAATGATTGAAAATTACAGCGCGCGGCGCCTCTCCCCGAGACGAAAAATGGATGCGGAGGGACGACGATAATGCGTATGTTGTGTGATGTTTTCTCCCTTTTCCCTTTCCTACTTTTCTTCGATGAATCATGTAACACGCCACGTGTGAAACGCGCGTCAATGTTAAGCGCGAAAATTCGCGTTTCCGTACACGTCGCGCGGATAAGCGAACAGCAAGCGAGCAATGATAAAAACGCGCGAACATTCGCCGTTACGATATCCTGTAACGCGTTTTTGCAGGGTGCCTGGTGAACGGGCAGAAAGTCACAGCGGATAGATCGGTCACGACGACGGAAGACCCCTGTGTAACTTGCAGGTGCAACAAAGGAAAGCTCACCTGTGCGAAGCAAGCGTGCCCGACGCTCAATTGTCCCACGTCGAAGATCGCTCAACTGCCTGGCGAATGTTGCCCGCATTGCCGAGGTGAAAGGACTTGCATGATTGTCATTATATTCCAGATGTATCTCGCGTCGCCGCGCCGCGCCGCGCCGTCCCGAAATGATTCGACAGATCCGACAAATTCGGCCGACCGAGTGATAAATCTACGCGACGATTATCGTTTTCGTCGCCGCGTTGTCGTCTCGAGCGTCTCCTTTTCGACTCTCGATAATTCTACCGTTTCTTTGCGGCGACGTACAAACTCGCGACGTGGGTAATCGTGTGTGTGTGTGTGTGTGTGTGTGTATGCGTGCAATATTATATAAAGATACGGGATTGCGCCTCGTTGCGTAAGCGCTTCGATGCCCGATGGAATTAATAGCGCCCCGCGACTTTTATTTCGCGACGATATTTTTCGCAAGAGGAGCATTTTCTAGGCGATCGCGCCAACAATTAAAGTCACTTTGAATTTATAGGTCATATCGAGTCTCTTACGGTACGCCAAAGGCGCGAACCGGTTTTATTGCGAATCTGATTATTTTCCAATGTCGCAATTGCGCAAAAAACCAGCCGCCACCACGTAACAGCACGATTGTCATGTAACCGTCGAAGAATACGTGCTGCCATTTAACGGAATATCTCGCGCCGCGACTTTGAAATGCCGCAATAAAATATAACGCTCGGTGGTTACAATGCTGCATAGCGCCAACTCGGTAATGAATGGAAATATAAGCCATGAATTGTCGCGTCAAGGAACGAGCTTCATTTCGAATGCAAGCGCGCTATTAACATAAAACCTACAAATGTACTTTCGAATAGCCGTCCGTACGTGTTAATAAATTGGAAACGCGATTGGGACGCGTATCCGCATTAAGGGCCAAAGGACGTCTCTCTTTTCGTTTTTGCTTTTTTTTTGACAGTGCGCTCTCTCGATACAGCGCTCGCTGTGTTATTTTTGCTGGTATAATTATTGCGCGTCGTGAAAAAAGAAAAATTACTCTTCGCGACATCAAGTGGCAGCACGCACGAAATTAAATTGGGGAAACGCGTCAACTATCTCTCTATCTCTCTCTCTCTCTCTCTCTCTGCAAAGCTCGACGCACCGACCACACGATATTTTCTCTCTCGCAGGTAGCAGAAGATTCCTACCACCTCCGAAAGGCGCGTGCATGCTCGGCACGACGCTGTACCCTTCGGGAAAACCGTTCTACGCGGATCATTGCACAGCGTGCACCTGCATGAACTCGACGGTCTCATGCGTCAAGGAGACTTGCCCGGTGCTGGAGTGCCCCAGGGAGTACCAGACACCCGGGCGCTGTTGCCCGCAATGCCCGCTCATCGAGGAGATCAAAACCTCCTGCGTTTACAACGGAATAGTTCGCGAGGCGAGTATCAATAGCGCGCAAAGGAAGCTCTCTCTCTCTCTCTCTCTCTCTCTCTCTCTCTCTCTCTCTCTCTCTCTCTCTCTCTCTCTCTCTCTCTCTGTCTCCTCTCTCTCTCTCCTCTCTCTCCTCCTCTCTCTCTCTCTCTCTCTCTCTCTCCTCTCTCTCTCTCTCTCTCTCTTCTCCTCTCTCTCTTCTCTCTTCTCTCTCTCTCTCTTCTCTCCTCTCTCTCTCCTCTCTCTCTCCCCTCTCCTTATCTCTTCTTCCTCCCCTCCTCTCCTCATCTTCCCCCTTCTTTCTCCCTTATCTCTCGCTTTCTCTCCTCTCTCTCTCTCTTCTCTCCTCTCTCTCTCTCTCTCTCTCTCTCTTCTCTCCTCTCTCTCTCTTGGCTCTCGCCTTCTCTCCTCTCTCTCTCTTTCTCCTCTCACTCTTCCTCTCATTCGTCTCTC